AATATTTGTATTTTATAATATAAGTTAATATAATATAAGCAAATCTATAAATAGTTAAAAATTGAGTCAAAGTTGTGTCTCATTAGCATTGACTTGGATGTCGTGATAGCTGTTCCACTGGCGACGGAAATGGTTGGACAGGCGTCTGAAAAAGTCCCGATCGGTGACCGAACGGCGCAATGGATTCAACGTAAAGACGTGTGTTTGGGGTCGCGATGAATGGCTTTCGAGGAGTACCTCCTCATAAGTGGGCGGATTGTCAACGGTGTCAGCGTTGGTCACATTATCTGAATTAATGAGTGATAAGCGTCTGAAGACTGTATTTTGACTGTCATTACTGATTGGCGACACAAAGTACAGGATTTGTCCGTTTCTTAACGATGTTCTGCTTAACGAAGTCCTCAACCTATTAGTCGTTCTGTTAATTAGTGTATCATTTGATTTGTCGGAATTGAATTGATTTGAATTGAACTCATTTCCTATGTTAAGGCTATTATCAGTCCTAAGCGGATATCTCTCTTGGAGTACAGCCTCTGAATAACTCGGAGCCATCGTGTAGTTGTTGATGAGTTCTATGCTGTCTATAGTGGTGTCTCTCGACAAACGACTCAAATCATTAGACGATCCCGAATAGTGTTCGCCAAACAGTTTAATTACCTTAAAGTTAATAAAAGAACTTGCTCAGTTATTATGCCTATTGTGTATGGGTTGGCAAACATGAGTAAGAAAGATAGCAATTACTTGGAAGTGAACGTATGATGTTTGGTATTCAATGAGTACACGAAAAGGCCAGGAAAGCAGTAATAAGGAAAATAACCAAAAGGCAAGATGTGATATATACCAGGGCTGACCATTACTGTTGGCATGAGATACCATGTACTCTTGGAAATTAGCGCCAACTAAGTCGAGCCCTTCTCTCATCTCTAAGTAGTCGTCATATCTCTCGTTGTCCTCAAAGAAGTTGGATCTCTGCTCTTCGAACTCATTGGCAGACTCTATGTTCGCGAACGCAAACCCTATTCACGCCAATCAATACAACTCTATTACACACTATTAGAGCCATTAATACAGACCTTAAAGAAGAGGGCATTAAATTAAATCTCCTATTATTTTAGACTTTAATTTCGTTTACTTAAGAAAAAAGTTAGTTTTTCTCGACAAACAATATAAATGTGATGTGTTTAATGCAATCACTAAAACTTCTCTATTTGAATGTCAAATATAAAGTGAGATTTGATTCATTAGATGATAAAATGCCATTAAATAAAGACATTAATCATTATTTTCGCGTCAAATAAATGATTGCATTCAAGGAATCAAAAGACTCGCAAAAAGCAGAACCAAAAACGCAAAATGAATGATAAATTCTGACCTTTTGGTTAATATCACTGTTTGGCAATATATGTCTGAAGTGTTTTATATTTCAATTGTAAATGAGATTAAAATCAATTCCGTCCAAGAAATGTATGAAAAGCTTTTATTCGGAGAATCCGAGGGAGAGTTATGAGTCTCTCTATAAGCCCCACATTATACTCCATTCGCTATAAGGTTTGCTGAGAAAGTCTAATGCAATCTCTTAAGTAACAAAAATTATTGAACACTTTAGGAAAACAAATCTTTTTAATGATTAAGCAATTAAGGGCTACTTTAGTGAAACAGAGCACTCGTTTTGGGGCCGTCACTGCCATAGGAATCATAGATTCGATGATTTATTTATAATATAGAAACAAAAAATATGAATCAAAACCTTTGCTGAATCTAATTTTGGTGACGGGATGTAACTCCAGATCCAATAGTTTCTTAGAGATATCTTTGACACCACAGCCTCCATACGAGAAACAGGATCCCGTGACGTGACTATTGATTCGCTCGTAATATATCTGAGCGGTGGTGTAGGCGTCGCCGTTGCGATAACGAGTCACCTGAAAGTGGTAGTCATCTCTTTGTTAACTACTATTATGCACTCATTTCGGGAAGTAATTAGCAGTTGTTGTGAAGGAAGGGATTAACTTTTATTGCTATTTGTGTCTTAAGTTTTCAAATAAATTATATGTGATGTTGAATAACAATTTTATTCATGTCTTACTTGTCGAGAGCGTCGGACGTAATGATAACTGACTGGAAAGCGTTGGGAATGAAAATGTTTAATCATTAATATTATATACTGTAGTGTGTATTTGTATAAGCCTACGAAAAACTATTTGAATAATTCTTATGATATTATTTGTATAGAGTTATAAAATAAAATTTACATTAAATAGAGTAGAAATATGACAGCAGTTCTCAATATTCAACATAAAGTGCAACTAAAATATCAATTCAATACTTAATTATGCTTTGAATATTAAATGCGTTTTTACTTTAAAAAATACTTAAGTTTCAAAACTATGATCATATTTTGTTATTCATAACTGGAAATTTAAAATTCAAATACACAAAATGGAAAATATATAGTTAAGTCTAATACCGAAGACATCTAAACATTTATTTTCTATAAAAGCGATATATTATTGGTATCATATTTCAAATAATACTCAAAACTATTGTATTTCAATTGTGTGTATTGTGAGGGCACCCATACCTGCCTTCCACCAAATGATAGGCTGTGCTTCTCTCATCTGCTGGATGTGTGTGTAAACGGCGCTCGCGTTTAGAGCATAGATCTGGTCGTAGAGTACAATATAATTGATAACAATCTTATTTATAGCAAACATTCAAAAGATCAAAACTTTCCGAAATAAATTTTATATCACACGATAAATAATAGAAAAGATTTCTTATGAGAAAACTTGAAAGTGTCATTAATTTTTCTGTGACTTCAAACATGGTTTTTATCATTTAATTAAAACGAAAGTTATTTCTCGATGCGTTGAAAATTAGAAAAAAAATAATTTTTTGATTAATCATTAAGAAGAATAGGATTTCTGGCACTAATTGAGGGCTGGTTTCGATGAACTCGCGGTTTGTTTGCTTCGATTCAATCCCTAATTTAATGGCATTTTTTATACCGCAATAATGTGTAGAAATTCTCGAAAGTAGGGCTCAATTTTGATGTGGAATTGTTTCGCACAAAACAATTTGTAGCCTTTATTGGCGAGCAATCGATAAAATAAACTAAAATCTAAAACTTATCCGATGGCTCGTGAAATTCATTCATGTATTCAATTGGCTTTCATGTAATGAATAGCAAATAGTGTTTGACTTACGAGTTCAAAGCGGGTGTTGCAGTGCCAGCACTCGACCAAATACACGATGTATAGCATCGACATGAATACAATGGGGATGTATACGTATCCCTCATCACAGGGACTCACTTTATGGAGACTTGTGATCGGATAGCTCTGTGCAAACAGTTATGGTATATTTGAGTTGTGAATTTCATGCCTTACTACATATGATTAGTAAATTAGTAGATAAAAATGTTGGACACACTTGAAAGTTGACGACCAGTCGGTCGATCTGTGCGACACTACACCACGTAATCACACAAAGACAACCACTGATGAGAACAGTCAATAAAAGGCACTTTAAATGAGAGTCTCGTCTCAAACTTTGGTATAGAGTTTGCTTTTGTGGCCGCTATTCAATTGGAAATTAAGGACTAAGTATTAGACAAATAATATAATTGAGTCAACAATTGCTGTTAGCGTTAACTGTATTTTTCAATTGAAATACAATTTTTTTGATAAATAAGATTCAATAAGATTCTGTTGAGTTTATATTAGATGAAAAACTCACGACAAAAGCTAAGTAATTAAAGGGAAACATTTGTATAATGAAAAATAAGATTACACACAATTCAACTGATTATTATAGAAGTAATATATTTTGATAAACAGATTAAAATGGAAACGTTTTCTCATGAGATAAATAAGATTACAAATTGTATAATAGTGTTAAGAGTGAAAAACTAATTATTTAGAAGTATATTTGCATTAAAGGCATGCATTATATCATTGCATTCATTCACTCATTCAAATTCTCTCTTTATTATAGTGTACTGAATATACAATTGCAATGATTTTTTGTATTCCTATTTCTATAGAGAGTATAATTCTTTCAATAAAAATCTCCAAAAATAACTTTTCAAGTGATCATTAAATACCAGAATTGAAAAATTCCTATTTGTCTCATGTTTTGACTGTTATTTCAGAGCTTAAAGCAAAATACAAATTTAAATTGAGTTAGAAAAATATTTTTAAAAACTAAAGTGTTTTAATAGAAATGCAATTTAATGGCAAACATTGAGTAAGAAATACCACTAAAGCGAAAGGAAAGAAAATCTCTATTTGTTTCACTGTTTGCACCTAAAAGTTAAGTATTACTTTGGTATTGATTTTTGATGTTTTACAACACAACTCAAGCCAACAGTTCTCTAAACATCAAAAATGCTTTTTCTCCAAACGCTAAGTATAAATGCATCTAATGATAGCCCACTCACTAGAAAAATAGATTAATTCTCTTTTGATTTGCTAAAAAACAAATTATTCAACCGTTTATTATTGATTGCATTTGCAATGCCATTGCATACAATTTAGGACTTCACTTGTGAATTGCATAATAAGACTACTGGAGAGACACTTATAAGAGTATAAACTTATCAAGTGCTGATTATTATGATTAAATCATCATAAGCTCAAATAATATAGATTTTTTAAATTTTGTTTATTTTATATTGTAGTTCATTCTGTTAATTATAAAACCCATTCGTTTTGCAATTAATAATAAAGGAATTGAGAGATTAGGGAATCGGTTGAGATGTATATAATATACTGAATATTAGTTTATTATTATATTAGATGAGTGCACGAAAGAAAACGTTTTTCTTTATGTTTTCAATAATTTAATATAAAGTACTATATAAACATTACATTTATTATTAAATCTAACCTTATAGCGAGTTATATATTTTTAAATTTCAAATATAATTCATTTTAACAGAGAAATTGTGAGTTTCATTAAATAATTAAATACTAATAAACAAAACAACCACAGAAAGTGTTTACTTAGTTATGTATTTTATTATTTATTAATTCACTGTGTAATATCCAAAAGAGCAATATAGTTCTCAAAATTACCTTGCCTATTTTGTCTCGCTTTATCATCCATTTATATTTATAGATTTAAATTCTGGAACATTTTTTAGCAAAGATATCAAAAGTTGAGCACATTTCTCAACCAATTATTGTCACAAATAGTTTGCGTTTAAAAGTGTGTTGATTATGAAAAAGTGCACAACATATGAGTCCTCATATTGAGAGCCAATTCAATACGATTTGAGCCTTTCGTCTCACAAAACCCTAAGTACTGAACATTATATGGAGTTCTGTATTATATTGTGTTAGTCTCCAGAATATAACAGTTTCTCAGTGAACGACACATATGTTGTGCTGCAATACAATCGTAAAACCATTGCATTTCTACGGATATATTCCTAAGAGAGTACTGGAGATAAGGAGCAAAACCTTCGCATCGGCTCTACTTTTTTATCACAAGAATTATAATGTGTTCGCCAGAGAAGGAACTCCACTCTCCTATAAAAATATGTGAATAAACTAGAAATGACAACAAAATTCACGACATTATTGATCAATAAATATTCTTGAGCTACACTTTTTTGGCCATCATTTGGGATCACAATTGGCGAGACATAAAGCATTTAGAGAAACGTAAAACTTTAAAATGAGATATAAAATCAATACGTTTAAAAACTTTTCTCCGCATCTAATTATATCTCTAAACAAGTGATGTGTCGATCGATACTTGATTTGAAAGAAAAATAAAATCGTTTTTATAATTAAATGTTTGTATAACTCGTTTGCGTGATCGCTCGCAATACTACTCGCGATTCTCCGTTTGTATTATTTGTATGATTCACTTAAAACCATAAATTTTCAAAACTATTCATTTGAATGCGATTCCCCTTTTCCCATTTATTTATTTTAAAAATCCCAATGATTTCGTAGAAAGCATTAAAGTTTAATAAAAACTTAGTTTTTGACATTTCTATAGCTTATAGCAAACGTGTAGTGAAGTGTATTTTTAATGCCTGACTTAAAACAGTTTATTAGGTCTTGAGATTAGCGCAAAAACAGAGCAAATTGTGTTTTGAGTTGAATTTACGGATGAAATGATTAAATAAAGTGAGCTCTGAATGGCTTTTGAAGAGTACCATTGAATCTGTGATTCATATATCGTTCACTAATCCAAATGTTGGTTCAATAAAAATCAAACTCAGTTTTAGCCCCGCATTTGGACCACATTTTGGGGCGAATAAAATGCAGAGATTTATTGTTTAGAGAATAAACAACTGTTTCCAGAGATGGACTCAAACTGACATAAAAAGAAGAAAAAAGCCAATGAAATGAAAACAAACGATTTATATTGTTTTTACACAATAAAGAAATATTGTACTCATTATATCTAATGTGAAAACTGATAATAACATACAGTAATACAAGAAGTACAGAATAATTCACTTTAATATATAAATTATATAAAGAATTCAGTCATAGATTGTATGGAGAGGTAGAGGAAGTGCTATGAGTGCTATGAAAATGAATTGATTACATAATACTGTACTTGATATTTATTCCCGTTTTGACATCACCTCTGATTATATAAATATATATTAAATTCTTAAGTCTCCATTCAGTGTCCTATATCTCTCATTATAATATAAATGATGCAAAATTAATCGGAATATTATAATCAATGCCTTAGCATATAAATGAAATTATTATGAAATTTAAACATACTGTACTATATACAGCACAGTATATAAAATGTTTATGAATTAAGAAATATAATAAATAATTTATAATATCAACTGAATATCATATTCTATAAAATATTAATATTAAAATATATCGATATGTTTTTACTCAAAGAAAATAAAATTAATGTAAAAACTATTTTTAAACAAATAAAATTAATAAATTAAATCTGAGTAAATTATAGATATAATTCTCTAAATAAGACAAATGGCTTTAAAAATAATTAAATTATTAAGTGAACTGAGAATTTGCTCAAATGTGAAAAGCATTAAAATAATGGATTTTTAGTTAAATAATGTATTTTTATCTAAGATGTGACTTAAGATCAATACAAATACATCGCTATTCAGACAATACTAACGTTTATAACCATAATACATAAGATCCAAAAAAATCAAGACATTGAACGCTATATTCAAAAGTGTTTCACAAGAAAAGAAATGGTTTGACTAATGGCACTAAACATCACAAGTATTTGTAAAAACTAAAACATTTGTGAAAATTGCTGTAATATTTCAAACAAATTCCTTCAGACATAACGGAATAAATTATATTTGACTCAATTGTTCAGAATCTCTTAACAATCTAATTAATAAGAAATTCCTGTTATTTCACTCAAAAAATTGCAATTTATTATCAAAAGTGTTTCAATTTTATTACCCGATGTGATGGAAATGAATTGAATTCCTAACGCTGTATGGAGTATAGAGTATAGGGAATCGCAAACAATCGGATTAAAAGCAAAGTATTTGTCATCTCTTTTAGACAAACGCTTAGTTTAACAAATCAGATGACAAGTCAAACCATCACTTAATATCAAATTAACAAATATTCGGATTGACATTAAATCAAACTCTAATAAAATAAAGTTTTTTGCCGATATATTAGTTTTATGTGTCTGTCTCTCATAACAATTCTTCACGACTCGAGCTATAGTTTTAGTGTTTAGTTGTTTGACATTATGTTTGTTGTACTCTATGTTTGAGTCAATAGAGAGAAGTAAGAAAAAGGATGAAAACAATAGAGACGACACATCGGGTTATATGTCGTCGATATAATTGATTGCATCAAAACCGAGACTAGCATTCAATGGCTAAATATAAGCAAAAACAATAACTGGTAATAATGGATACAAATTCACGGAAAAGCAATCGATTATAGTATTAATTGAATAAAGAGAAGGATTACTAAAAAATAAAATGAATGTGAGATTAGATGAGTATTTAACTGACAGTTAGATATACAGTATCTCAATAGACAGCCTTTCAATAAGTCATACACTTATTAGTGTTGACGAGACTATAATTAAATGCTTATAAAAACACATGAGATTTGACTAAACGATAATTATTAATTAATATCACAGAATATAATATTGTAGTCAATGTTGTTCATTGAATTCGTGAATCAATGCTAAAAATATATTTGGTTTTGACGTTAATATCATATTTATATTCACATTCTTATAATAATTCTGTTTAGTACTGACAGACATAGTTAAGTAGTCGTTTCATTTAGAGGCAATTTTATGGCACAAAATACTTGATCCGATTTCCAGCAAACCATGTATTGATTTTCACGGATAATATGGGATACGATTCTCGAGTTGAGTATAATTTAGCTCAACATTTACTGATGTAGTAATGAAATCAAAATTAGTTTTTCTCAAGAATAGCATTATTAGATATGATTGTTATAGAATTAATATACAGTACACTTATATCAAATATTACATTTATCTCTATTACACAAAACAACAAAAACAGGTTATCTCTATACATATTACATAGACATCTCTCACCCTTAACTTTATTACTGTTTCCGTCTGTAATAAATTGAAGTAAAAATTATTGATTATATTACTTGGTAAATAAATTGTCTCCAATTGTGGCTTATATTAAAATAATATCAATTTTTGTATTTGATTTTCTTTTTCAAATAAAGCCTTCAATTTATATGAAAGCAGAAAACCCAGAATTTCGATACAATTCACAAAATTTCTTTATTGCAAAATTCTCAATAGAAATATACGTTTAATATTGAAAAGCAAATGCGATTTAGTGGCACCGGTAGTACCACCAATGGAGTGCCTAAATCTGTAGGCAATCATATGAATAGTTCTGAATGAATCCATTGAACGAATATTTTTCTAAAAAGTTAAACTCAACTCCAGTTTCATTTAATATAAGACTATTCTAATGGAAACACAAATAAAAGGATTTGCAAAAGTGTTTAAAATATCGCAGATTTAAATAAAAATTAAAGAATGCTTTCTTTCAAAACAAATTTAATTCTAATCTGAAAACTGAAAATATATTTTGAAAACTCTTTACAATAAAAGTCAAAACACATGAAACAAAAGAAAATCTCCAAAAAAGTCTTTAAAAAATATGTTTTCGGAAATTATTGATGACTTTCTTTTACAAAAAGACTTTTGACGATATAAATCAAAATATGATTTTTTTCTGTACAATAGTTTTTGGAAATAAGAATATTTAAAGGGATTTGAAGAAAACTTAAAGAATAGTGAACTTTAAGAAAAAACATTGAAATTTCTTATTTTAAAAAATTTGTTCCTAAAAAATTGCATTAAAAAATTCTTAAGAATCTATTTATTCGCTACAAAGAAGTTAAACCACTGCTGAGAATATTCTTTGAAAGACATAAATTAAAGTCAACCCTCGTATAAATCATAACATAATAATAAATATGAGTCGCTTTTGCAACTAAAATGACACAGTTTTGTAAAAACAGTCTTTAGACTCATGGAAATATAACAACTGACGGCATTGATAACATTGTTTAAGCCTTAGGGCATTGGTTAAGCCATTGAAGGTGATGGCATGTAATCTTAAATTAAGATTAATTCTATGCATTAACAGAATGTTGTTGTGTTTATTTGAACTCAATATCCAATTATATCAAAGAGTTTTGTCAAATCATGTATTGATTATACAATATATTTTAACAAAACTTTTAAATGGTTTTTGTTAGTAGTTTAAACAGAAGTTTGATAACGTGAACAAATCTGAGTGAGTGAGTGAGTGAGTGAGAGAGAGAGAGAGAGAGAGAGAGATTATAATATGAAAATAAATTGCAAAACTCCTAATCCATGTTAATTATATTGAGAAATAATTAGAATATTTTAATGAGTCACAAAATAATTATCTATATATAATGCAAAAGCAATTTTAAACGAATTGAGAAGAGATACACAAATTATAAAAAGTGACAGAATATTCTGTGTTACTGTATTAACATGAATATAATGCACAACAAGTCGTTGTGAGCGTAAAAGGATATCTAATGACAAGAATAAGTTATTTGTAAACTATTATACAATGCAATGAATACTAATTATGGAAATAAAGATAAACTGAGCGCTAAATAAGTTGTTAATAAAGACTTACTTCTTCGGAGTTGATGTCCTGTATCTCTTGAGTCATAATAAGAGCACATTCTCATGAATGTCCGACTCGTAAAAGTGATGATCTTTAGCACTGTTGGCTACAAAACTCAAAAACTTAGACATAGTTTGCTTGTATTTCATAGAATTTCTCATTAGAAAGTGTTTGCAAACTCATAGTTAACCACCAGTTCTCCAGTGATGAACAAAACGGTATGAGTTGTGACTCAATAATAGCGCTCAACTCACAGCCCAATCGATCTGATAATACATACAGCGCTCACTGACACAGAATCGATGAGGGATTGTGAGCACAGGGAGCCCATAGATATACACTCGCAGTGATGCTGCCGATAGAGTAGTGACTCCTAATGATCCTCTTTTTAGGTTCTCTTTAGACAAAATATTTTTCCAAAACTTTTTGTTTTCAATTTAGTTTTAAAATGTTTATGATAAATATGTTGTAAAGTTTACAATGTAAACCACAACTACTAAAATTCGAGTACATACAGTACATCAAAATTAAATTATGATAAAAGTACCGCATATATTTTGTGATTATATTAGTTGTAATATATTTGTTTTGTTTTATATTCACGTAAAAATTCTACTATTAAGCGATTAGTGTTGAACGATAAGACTTTAATGAATACATTATTTTAAATATAAAGCAAAATATATTTTATAAAATTAACATTTAGTTTTTAAAATACATCCTAGCTAACAATTAGATTCAAAATTTTAATTTAACAGAAAGCGAACACGAATTACAATCAATTATCAAACAGTTTGTCGTCTTTTGGTTCATATGAAGAGATAAGTCATGGGTTGAGACCTCATAGGATCCGCCACAACGACATCCATATGAATACATATCTGACAATACAATCAATTCATTCATTTAATCATTGTTTCAGTTTTGGTTTGTTTCCATATTTACCACAATTCAGTGTCAAATCACTTATAGAGAGCTCTTCATTGATAATACAATTATCGCTTCTATTGTCTGCAAACATACCATTAAAATGCAAATCAATTCAAACCAAACACCAAATCAATTACCGATGAGTTGACAGTCGTATTGACGACGACTTAAATCGTTGTCCAATACTTTGACGGCTCTATCGATACGATGGAAGTCTTCGCACGAAGTCATGGACTCAGTCTTATCCGGATGTGTCTAATGATCAATAAATTGGACACAATTTAGTCAACAAGTCCACGATTGTCTCTAAATTATCACTAATCATACCATAAGAGCTAATTTCTTGTACTGTTTTCGGATCTCTTGTTTGGACGCCTTTTCATCGCAATGAAGGACTGAATAATGAGTTGACATCTCTTCGGATGACATCTTCAACGGTTCACTAGTCCTCAGATGGTGTCCAATATATCACTCAAAACACCATTCAATCAAAAGTGCAATCATTTACTAAACACTCATTCAATGCAAACCATTCACTCATACTGTAAAAGACGTCAACTTTTGACATCTCTTTGTATTTTATAAACACTTCATTTGAATGCAAATTAATATAGTTTTTGAATATTTATTCAATTTATAAATTATCTGAACATTAAATGCAATGAATTAATGCTTTTAATTAAATTAAATCCAATTTTGTATGAATTAACAAATGGACGTAATTTGTATGAAATGAGTGTTTGTTTATAAACGGGAAACACATGTCGTTTGAAAACATTGCATGAAATGATCATTTGGTCCACAATTTGGTGGTCATTATTGGATTACAGTTACAACTGATCACTGGTGACAATGGTGAAGCTCCTGGAGCTTTCAAAATTCAGTTTAGACCGCTTTATAGTCAACAATCCGGCCCTTCCTGTCGACTTTATTAGGAACGCCTACTATAACGGCATCGGAAGGTATGACCACTTGATTGACACGAATTGGTGTCCAGTGTCTAATGCCATGATCTGATCCACCCCTTCAGACACGTGTGTCAACTGCAGAGGATTACAGTGAAGTTCTGTAAGAACAGTACGGATGCGAAGGGTGTCCGACAGTTCATTGAGACAGATCTGGTGGACTGGAGCCGACACAACCCCGGAGTAGTCGTGTATCTCAAGCCCCGAAGACACCGGACGCCAGTCATTGTCACCGAATACCTCAATGGTATGAGTCATTGGATGTCTATCCGACGGTTCAGTAGCCTTGAGATCCAGTGGTGGTTGGAGTTCCTGAAGGACCGGTCGGGCTATGAGTTGTCGCAACTGATGAGTCCCGTGAATGTGATCCTACCGTCAGTTCAGGGGCCGTGGCATCCGTTCCTCAACCGCCCGACAGCTCTCAATGTGAGCCAATTCCCCAACAAAGACAGGGGAGACTACATCCCCGATAAGCCCACAGCCTCTCAACAACTCTTGCAAATGGCTAAAGAGATCAATACTTCTCAATAGAAAAGCATTTTTATTATACAATAGTTTTTACATTAATATCAATATTAAGATTAGGTTTCATTACAAAATTGATTGAATTGTCATTAAATTAATGACTCATTAATGGATGCATTATTATTATTAACAGCTATTACAGTAAAATATGTGTAATTTAATCATTTGGCGCATCATTTATTTGTCAAAATATGCTAAGTGTTTGGATAACAAGACTATAAAAACTTGATTTCAAATAATTTACTAACATTGGTATGAAAAACATATATAATATATAACTAAATACAGTATATAAAGAGATCAATAGATTTATATTAATATTAATAATTAAGTGGCAAATGATTATAGAAAATATAAAATAATATTCAATTTCGGTATTAGATTACAATACAAGTAAAAATCAATATCGATGTCACACTTCAGTGATTTGTTCGCAGACTTCACTCCAATTGTGGTCATCGTCTGAGGGCTGAGTAGTGATGATAAGAGTGGCGCCGCCCTCGCCCTTAGTGGCTGTCAGTTCGGACATGGCTTGAGTCAAGAGGTCACCAGAGCTGCCCTGAAGTAGTTCTTGGAGATCAGCGCTCGATGTGTTTGATTGCGACAAATCGTTATTCATTGTCGCAGTTATAATGCTATTGAGATTTTCTAATATTGTTATCAAATTAGTGGTCGTTCCCAATGAGACGGTCGACTGATTGGGGTTTTGAGCGGCCATTATGTTTGGCGTTTGGGTTATGGTCTGTGAGGTGATTGCCTGACTCATGATTGGGGTGGAGGTCATGGCGACAGTGCGTTGTCGGGTGCGGGCGTTGGTGTTGATGATAGCCATCTGTTCAGGGTGCTTTTTGCGTTGGTGTTGAAGTAGTTTTGCTTTACTGGCGTACTGTTTGTGACACCAGTCGCAGTAGTGGGGGTGTGTTGTTATACTGCCTACCGTTGCGCTGTATGTGGGGTTCGGGATCCCAGGTATCACTGGTATGCCTCCCTTATGCCGGTTAGATAGTGGAAGCGATTTGCCTGAACATACAGATTTTGGTTATCAATTTGATCTATCATTCATACAAGTATATCACACATACCCGGATGATTCTTCATGATATGAGCTTTCCGTTTGGAACTGGATTTATATATTTTGTCACAATATTGACAGTAATAATCACGGGTTGTCTAAAATATCGTTTCAAAAAACCTTGAGTATATTTATGATAAATAGTTTTAACATTTTTTATTACCTTAAGTATTGGTAGATTAAGCTCAGGCACAGAATCTGGAGGTATATCCGGATGTCTTTTAGCCAAATGGTTGACAAGCATTCCCCGGCGCTTAAACCCTATGGTCAGGTAAGACATTACATAAATTAAATAGAATATTCATTGAACCATACATACCAAGCAAACAAGTGTGACATTTATATATGAATCGGTGGTAATCGGTTGGCGACACTTTTGGCACAAACTTCTTGTGCTGTAGACTCAACTGTTGCGCCTGTTTTGCCGCTTGTTTGGCTATTTTCAAAACAACCGGTAAGTGAATCGACATTGAAAACAAATATATTTAAACATGACTTACCGGCGAGTTTAGCCTCCCTGTCGGGCGCATGCATTCTCTGCATGTGTTCCTTCAACTTATCCTTCCTTTTGAATTGTTTGCCACAATTGGCGCACAAGAACTCTCTGTGATCGCTGTGTCTTAACATATGTAACTTCAATTTGTCGGGACGAGGGAACACCTAATCACATACATTGTTAGCTTTGTATTGTCAATATAATTTGGTTTGCACTTACTTTTTCGCATTGAGTGCACGGGTATTGTTTGTCTGAATGAAAAGCGCGGATATGTTTTCTAACGGCTGAGAACTCGTCAAATCCTTTTGAACAGTTAGGACAAGTAAACTGTCCGGTGATGGGGTGGGCGTGCGATACGATGTGGTCTTTCCTTAGTTGTGTCGAATCAAACCATAGCTTACATATAACACAATCATATCTTCGGGGCTGATCTTTAGGAGTACTAATGGTATATAAAAACAATTATAACAATTAATACCTAAACGGATACAAAAAAAACAGTGATTCGAGTAAAACCTGTGAACTTTGAGATGACACGAAAGGGCAGAGTTATTAAGAAATCGTTTCTGACAGATATCACAGGCCAGGGGTTTGACTTGTTCGTCGCTCGAGTGTACGATCGCGTGTCTTATAAGACGATCATCTGTTGTGAAACATTTATAACACTCGTGACAACGAAACGGTTTATTCGAGTTGTTGTTTGGAGTCTTGGGGGCACTCTTTCGGGCCACAGTCAGACTCGTCGGCGGTTTCATGTCGTTTGCGTTGCTTTTCTTAGGGGTTGCTTCCGATGCTTTAAAACTCACATTTTGTTCGTTACTTTCCGTCAGATTTAAGGCCGTCTTCTTATTAACGGCCACTTTCTGATGTTTCTTCGCGTGTCTGTTCCGGTTGTAGACGTGACTGAAAGACATACCACAGACGGGACACTTGTATTTCTTTTCGCCCGAATGCATGATCTGATGTCTTCGCAAACTATAAAACCGTGGGAACACCTTCTGACAGGTCTCGCACTGGTATTTGGGTTGAGATGAGCTCTCCTTTGTCTGACCGGAAGCGCCGTTAGTATCGGTTTGACTGCCGCTCTGTTGGGTCTCTTGTTTTTGTTGCTGTTGTTGTTGTTGGAGCTGTTGCTGTGTTTTTGCGATTTTATTTCTTAACTTATGGCCACCTGTGGCCACAATATCGATAGCATTTGGGGCACTTTTATGGGGGATATTTTCGGCGGGCATTTGTTCGTCAACTTCTTGTATGAATAGAGTCCTCGGCTCTAATACCTTGAGATTAAACTTCTCGGCGTATTCTCTCGAATACCACACTTTAAGCTCTTCTCTCGCATATATGGCTCGTGTGGTCAGAAAGAAGAACTTGATTTCGATTTCATTGCCCGAAACGTTTTCTTTACTGATCAGCGATAGGTTCTGCTCCTCGAAAGTATTGGCCGAACGAACAAATTTCATCCAATTTGACTGATTCTCATCGCTTTGGTCTAAAATCAATGTCTCGGTTATGAAAATCATTAGATTGTGATTAAAGTTGTGCACATTTGAGTGATTGTGTCCAACGATCACACCCTCGACGGGACCAAATTGAGTCCTCTTTGGGATTGTTTTCTTCGCGAATACACCCAAAACAGAGACAGAATTTTCTGGTTCTTCGATATACAGATATTCGGCGGGTAATGAAGCTCTGGCTCTACTAAGAACTGGCAGATCACTGATGACATGTTCTTGAGGTGTTTCCATCTCCACTCCGACAACAACGTTGGAGTTGTGCTGAACCGACTCCTCCATGGGTTGGACGCACTGATCCATCTGTGGCTGTAATACAGGCATTGAATTGTCGGCATTTTGATGCATATAATGGGTTTGCAGTAAATGATGAGAATCTGTGGTTTGCATCGATACTAATGACTGAATGGCTATCTTATCGATGGGTTCTTGATATGCATGCATTGGCTGGACGTAACTGAGCTGATGTCCAGCACTGGTAGTGGAGTCGACGGCCTCACTATTGCAGTCAAAGATCATGTCCTGTCGGCACATATTTGCGGCCGAAGTAGAGCTGACTAACGTTGAGTTCATGGACGCCGTCTGTTCCTGTTTTATAAGATTCTCGATTACGTTGTCATGAAATACATTGTTTTGCATGAGTTGTGAGTCTTCGCTGTCCAACTGACCACTCGTCGACTCCACGTGAATGACATCGTTTTGGACACTATTGGCGTCCAATATGTTTGTCTCGAAGTGGTGTGAACTGCAACTACTGCTCACGAGTGGTGAATAGGCGTAAAACTGTTGCAAATTGTGGTGCAGTTGTTGTCCACTCTCTGAAGAACTTCCCGCCTGTTCTGACGTCGATTCGGCCGCATATTTCTGGGCCAACATGTGTTTGAATGGCTGTTCAATACATAACCATTAGATAAGTGACTATTAATACAATTATCTGTTAATGACCTGTTGATGGTTGTTATGATTGTGATTATGATTGTGTTGTGTCGAGGAAACCACATTCTGGTCGACCGTATTTGAGGTCAAGTGATGCATATATTGGCTCGAACTCGAGGCAGACGTGAGCTATGGTTCACAATAGTTATCATCAGAATATTCTTAGCGGACATCCAATGAATGGCTAATTAATTACCTCATCGTTAGCATAGATATTGTCCTCTTGGAGAGCACCGGATGACGAGGGCGTCGGTGATGAGGACATCATTTATACTTTACAGACAAATAACATATAATTAAATCTCACTTTTATTTCGCATTCAAAACTTATTAAACATTTTGACAAGTTTTCGTCAATGAAATTATAAGCTAGGAACATTTTGTTTGTCCAAATCAGTACTATTATGTGTATTTTAAATTCACACTCATTTGTTGGACAATTTGCTCGTAAATATTATAATTAAAAATCAATTAGTGTTGAGTAATAATGGGGACAATAATCTGCAAAATAGGCTCAAAACTAAGTGTTCATACATTTCCTCAAAGACATCGACACTTCTGAACATATTTACACTTTTATCTCAAACCATATTAGACTGCATAATAAGTTTCGATTAAATCAATTGACGGAAATGCACCCTGGTATTATGTTCATTTTCTAAAAATCTTTATTTAATAACTATTATTATGAATATAAGCTAATATCGCCGATGTATGTAATTATCAGTAAATATAATGATGGTAAAATAATTTTTCTAAAATATCAACTCATATGCCATTTGTTTGCCAGTTCTTTGACTGATCGGACATTTGTTTAGCAAATATTATGAATATCTAATAAAAGTTAATTGAATCAAAAATTAATTAAAAACTGATTAACAGGTAAAATGTGGGAATAAATCGATAATAAGTTGTGTATAGATTTGTGCCATAAATGTATGAATGAATGCATTGCTATTCATATGACATGTATGCCATCATATGATTGACAACCATACGAACAATTGGTGTTCAATTGGATGAGGGATTAGTGGATGAAGTGATGGTTTGGGATGTAGTGAGACATGAATGAGAGTACAAATGAGTGGCTATTAGACAGAGTTTGGATGTATTGCGATATGAATGGAGTGGTGGTTAGGCCTAACTCTAAGCACAGGGAGAATCTATGTGTTGGGTATGGGTTGGGGAGCAGTATATGAGCGCTCATTACCAGACACTGAGGACCACAACCAAAATGTTGGGCACAGGGAGGCACCTCGCACCTCCACCCTCGCTATATGGGCTCATTGGGGCACAAATATGCAATGAATGGTCATGTCTTACCTGTGATTGTCAGTCAATATTCACATGAATGTCATAATCGACACAATTATATAATATGAGAGCAAACAGTGTTAGAGTAGTGTCTCGCGTAAGGCGAGTCTCCCCTCTCTGTCGAGAATATGGTGGACTCATAGCATAGATAAGCATAGATAGGCGCTCACAGCACCTATACGAAAGGCATAGGCACTACAGTACTGTCAATAGCAATGCACTTTTCGCACAGCCTGTCTCAGCTCAGTTCATTCAGCACAGCCAATACATACACAACCAGTGATCCATAGTCTACCTACCCTTCAATGCCATGTCTGAGAGCAGTCACTTGTGTTTTGCCATACATTTAACTCTTGTTAGAAACTTTCACAATTAGATCCAATGTCTGTTTACTTCGCCACACAATCACCCAATCATATAAAAATACAATAGTTTTAACGATAATTACATAAATAACACATTCACAGCAATTGTTTAAAAAACTTTTATTTTTATGCTTAAATCAATTTTCAAGTCAATTCTTTATGTCCAGAATTCATTTGTTTTGTGAATACAGTCTAAATGTTCACAATCAATTAATCAATTATTATTCAAATATTATTAACAAATTATTACATAATTTATTTGATTATTAATTTGACACAAAATCAAAAATAATACAAGACTTAACGCGATTAGGATTAAGTCCGAAAATGAATTTATGGTATTTTGTAATGAATTGGGAAATAAAAAATAAAATTATAATATACTGTATATAAAATAAAACAATAGAGTGAGTGATAAATAGGTTGTTTTGCGTATGAGTATTGACTTAATTATAGTTTATATGATTTTAAATGATTTGATAACAGAATTTAGTCAATGATTGCTTAAATAGGATTTAAGTTTAAGTCTAAATTTCACACTTTATTGCCGTCGGGTTTACGAGTTTGAGTGAAAACAAAAAATTAATATTCTTTAAAGTCTGCAATTGTTTTGCGTATAAATGCAAGAGAAGTGTGAATCAATTGATTGATATTAAGTTAATGTTATTTTTATCGACTCTTATATACATTGAAAATAATGGCTTTTATATTGACTATAACTTAATGTTTCGAAATTAAAGGCATTCCGAGCCCTCATTTGGTTGATTCGCTTTGAGAGAGACCTTGTATTGCATTAGCTATCGATTGGGGCCAAAACCGTTGCATAGAATTACTTGTCTTCAACTTCTTGGAGGCAGAACTCTTGGCCGCACTCTTGGATGTGCTCTGACTGGAGTTGCTCTGAGTGTCGCCCATCGAGTTGGCCGTGTCTAACATGGGCTGAAGTATCCTCCGGCGCGCGTTTATGAACCAATTGTTCACCTGAAGTAATGTGAGATTCGTTTGCGACGCTATCGCCCGCTTCTCGTCCTCCGTCGGGTACGGGTGCTGTCAAGCAATGCATGCACTCATTAGCACACAATCTAAGTGCAAAGTAATCAATAATTACCACAATGTGTTGGAAGAGCCAGGACCTCATGATAGAAGTGGCCTGTTTTGGCAACACACCCCTCTTCTGCTGCTTCTTTTTGCTGCCATTGCTGTGATTGGATCCCAAGTCGTCGCTCATGTCGTCATCATTACTACTATCTCCTCGATTCATATGATGTGACTTATGGTTTAGATTAGTATTGTGTTTATTGTTTGAATTCTTATGATTTGTGCCGATTTGTGAGATGGGAGTCGAGCCATGAATTTGCTGCTGACTTGAGTTCATTTGAATGGGTTGTGCGACTAATCCCTGTGCCGTCTGAACCATTTGGTACACTGTCTGAGGCGTTGGATTTGAGGCGAATGTTGTGGTCGATGGGGAGGTCAGAGGGAAGTCATCGGACTCTGCGTCCGAAGAACATGAGGAGCCATCGAATAATGAATTGGCACTCGAATCGTTGCCGGAGTTGACCCCCACACAGGAGGTGCCCCTCAATAAGTTCTCAGAACTCATTTTTGTGCGCAAACAAGCTGTTCAAATAAATGCCATCATTATTAGTATTATAAAAGTATTTCTAGTAATCAATTCAATACTTACTAATATATCGCTGACAAAAGTCTTTTGCTAATTCCGACACTTTTTCCAACTCTAATAAATGAATTCTAAGCACTTGTATGGCTTTTATCATAAGAGTGTCCACTTCGGGGTCATCGCTGAGAAATGGTTTGCCGTCTCTCTGTTGGTGTTCAACAAACGCAAGGATTTCCGCGTTAAACGAAGAATTGGTTGAATTGGATGTCTGTGTGTTGAGCGTTGAGGTCATGCTCTCGCACTTCTCCAACAACAAGGCCAACAACGGGAAGAGTGGGTGCTATAGGGGTGACCAGTGGTTAGTAAATGTGCGAAATGGTAGATCTATTAGAGCCATACCTTATACACGGCTTTCTTGTCCTCTTCAAACTGGTGTTTAGAGACGGCAACCGTCGGCTCCTCTTCCACTATAGGCTCATCCGTTATGTCGTTATCATTGCATTTTTTGGGCGAACTCTTTGGCGCCGATTCCGCATAAATCTCTGTTTTGACTACATTTTCATCCTCTTCCTCATCGGTCACAGATGTGGACGAATCGGAGTTATGGTCCATGACTTCAACACTTGTAAACACAACTCAACGCTAATAAAAACAATAATGAATACAACTTTGAGTTAATGATAAAAATAGAGACAAACGAATAAAACTTAGTTTCTAATAGCTATTATAACTGTCATAAAGTTATTTACATAACAATTATTTATAATAAAAGCCATTATAGCATATCGTAAGACACATTAAATTGTTTTCTCGATTATCTCTAGTCATGAAATTTCCCAAAATCAAACATTTATTTCAACTAATTTTCTATCAATTATTATTAGACAAAAATTTTCCACATATTATTGAAAAAAGGACATTGAGACAAAACTATTAAAGCAACAAAAAAGTAATTCAAAACTAATGTGTTTTCAATTTGTCTCATAATAAGTTATACAGTATCGCAAAGAAATAATAAAATAATGTCAATCAATGAATTAATTAAAGTCACGACTTTTGAGTGCTAATTCAGACGTCGTGTATAATTAGCTTAAAAGTTCAATAATAAAAAGGTAATCATTTCGTAAACAGTTATAACTGTCTGTAAATTACATGATAAATAAGATATATATTAGTCATCAAAATATTTACGACAACAACTATCTACCTATTTGTGAGTCATTTGGGAAATAATTGAAATGATTTATGATTTAATTGTTTGCAAAAATGATTGCATTTTAAACACCACTTCAACATTTCAAACACACTTCACTCCCAAACAAAAACCAGTACCAAATAAATCAACTTTTATTTAATCGTAATAATATTATACTGTATAAAATGCATTCAAATGCATAACTACATAAAATATAGATAAGACTAAAGTTTTCATAAATTAAGCTTTTATTAAAAGCTTATACGGTATTAATACTGTATTTTAATATAGAGTTTATGGCACTTAAGATGTTTGTGAATAACAGTAAAAAATAAATAAGATTTAGAAATAACAAATACTTTGAAAACTGAACACATTTTCCCAAATCATCATAAAATGCTAAGTAAATTATTATCGCTTTAATCAATAGATTGCAATTAAAATAAAAATATCCACTCATATGAACACAATAGCCTAAAGTAATTAATACATTAGTTTCAAAATATTTTTCTCATTTAAAAGCGTTTATCGCCAAAAATCTGCGAAAGTTTTAATAGAAAACAAGTTATTATTTAATTGAATAATTATTTATATAATGAAATGAAAAGTTTTTGCCAAAATAACAGTAATATAGTGCTATGAAAAAGAAAAACTTCAACAAATAATTACAAACTAAAGGCAAAGAAACAAAAATTAAATGACTTATAAAACGATAAGAAAAAAGTTTGTCATGAATTAAATGATGAAACGATTGAGTGGTTCATTGAAAGCATTGATCAGACAGTGGTTAGCCATAAGAGATACCAATTAATGGTTAGGTATTTGTCAATAAGTGTTGTTTTCATGGATTGAATACCTTTTGTGTTTCGACGTATAGTGAATGGATGTGTAGAGCACAGGGAGCACAGGCTGTCATCAAATGTCACTCTGAATGAGTGAAATGAAAGACATCCAATTGAAATGGCCGTCACTTATAGACAACCACACCTCAACCCACAGCACATCCACTATGACCAGACCAACCACTTCTTCACCTCCGCCGCCGATTCACAGCCCATTCACAGCAAACACTCATTGCATTGAGCACTCAATTAATGTTTACAACACTTTCCTAATGAATCACTTAATCAACGAAAACACAACACTTTGGCTAACATTTGAAGCCTTCATGAACACCAAACAGTGCCCAACACTCACTCCCCGCCCACACCCGCACCGACTCCTCCCACCCGTGCGCTCCACTATTACGGCCACCACTTGTCCCCCAAACACGACAACCCATTGTCTCTCCTGCGCGTCGACCGTTCAATGCATGTATTCATCCGTTTCGTCATTTATGGACATTTGGTGGCAATGCATGCGTTGAATGCATCGCCAGATGGCATACAACGAGTCAATTGGCAATTGAAACATGTTTTGAGTGAATGTTTGCAAACATTGAATGCTTTTTATGCCAATTCATGCATTCATTGCATTCACTAATAGTGTTAAAGTTAACAACAATTTGCTGTCAATTCAAGCGATAAGTCATTTGTTTTATTGCCATTTATTATTGCCGTGTATTTGATGTCCCGGTAATTGAAATGATGTCTTCAGACACGGCTAATGACAGACAACAGGCTTTGCGCAAAGAGTTACTCGACTTGAATAGTCAAAGAAGTAAACTCGAGAATGACATCAAAGAGTGGCAGTCCATCCTCGCCAGTGTATGTCATCCATCATATCATACATGCATTCATTTCATTGATTCATATCTTGTTGATTGTTATGAACAGCAAAGTGTAGGAATGAATGACTCGCTGGTCGACAACAACGGCTTTCCCCGCAATGACATTGATATCCATCAGATCAGAATCGCGAGGAATAAAATCATTTGTAATTACCATTAGTTTTGACACTTCTTTGTATAAATGCATTTCCTGTGAAACCCGGGTTTAGGTCTCAATAACGACATCAAGATTCTGATGACACAAATTGAGGAGAAGTTGTTTGCATTTCACGATTTGGCCAAAAGTCAGGACAACACCAATGATACCAATTCTCACAAATAGTTTTCGTTATACTTTTCAACTTATTTCTCATTTAATTATTTTGATTATTCATTGATTCAAATATTAATAACATTTGTTACTCGTTAATAGAAATAAATTTAAAATTAAATGCATTTTTTTGTATAAAATATAAGTTATATTATTATTCTTAGGACTAGTTTTGGGAATGTTTTGTATCTTTTGTAATATTCGTGTGAATTAAGAGTTGGTCTGAGATTTAAATACTAAAACCTTGGCCCTCATGAACGACAGGTATGGTAATTCATCCAAAACCTGAAGCGCCTCCGCACTCAACACTTGACTCGAGCCAGTGTTGGCATTAGTTGCCGAAGAAGTACTGCTCACTGAGGATAATATCTGTTGCATTATATTTGTCTTATTTAAGTCTTTGGACTCATTGTCACAAATGTTTCCGTTTTTGTCGTTAAGGAAATCGTCTAAATCTGTCAAACGATACAAATGTGATTACAATAGAGTCACAAAACTTCATTCATTTAGTGATAATCACCTGAAAAGTTGTTTTGTCTTTTGGTGTTCTTCACGTCATCGTTGGTCACGAAGAAGTCTAAATCGAAGGCAACCGCAGACTTTTGGTTAACATCTAAAGGATTAGTCAGACCACTGGAGCCCCAATCGAATTGCACCGGAGGTATGGGAGCTGTTGAGGGTTCAGTAGAAGTTTTGATTTCAATATCATTTTCATCAAGATCACTATTGTATAGGTGTTTAGTGGGCTCTAAAACACATCCCAGTCCTGAGGCGAATACAGGCACTGATGAATTGCGTAACTATACAAACAGACAATATGTTAATTAGAAATCTAATCAAATTTCATAGTTTTGCGAAAACAAAACTTAATAAAAAGCGGATACAACTAAAGGAAATCTAGAGATAAAAAGGATTTTGAAAAAATAAAAGGTTTAATAAGCAATGGATAAGTAGAGGAAATGCAGTTAAGAGTCTTACAAAAAGCTAGAAGTCATCCAAAAGAACACATTCCTAGTGTTTGAACGCAAAGAAAATAAGTTTGTTTTTATATAAAAGGATCCATTCTTTCCACCAAAACACTGATGGAACGGACGGCTAACGTAAAGCCAATACTAAATTTACTCACAATATTTCGGGGATCGATATTAAGGGCTGTCAACAGAAGCTGAAAAGAGTGCGAATTAGGCCAACGGAGCTTAAGTGACGGCGCGCTCTCCAAGTCTTGTAATTGTTTCCATAGGTTTTTGCTTTGGGTTCAGATAATCAATTTTTAGTCATATTTCTAATTCAAAGAATTCAATTCAATGCAAACCTATTTTGATCGCATCTATTGAATAGATCTCTTGATATGTACTGAGAATTTTCATCACAACTTATGGTCTCCTCGAGTGGGAAGAGTTGAGCAAAAAGTTGAGTCAATTGATCTGAATCAGGAACCGATTGCGACACCATTTCATTTTCTACAGGAGCTATAAACCCGTTAATAGTGTTATTCGTTTGAAACGATGAAAAGTCTGCGAATTCGCTGTCGTTATCTTCAAATTGTGTCGACGAGGAAGAGTTGGCCTTTAAATCAGGAACTGATTGCAAATGTGTATTAAAAACCGGTTGCGCGGACGCGAAGTCAGCGAAATCGTCGTCACTTTCGTTGTCATCTAATACTTCTGTATTTGCGATCACTTCTGAGCTTTTGATTGCATTTGAATTGTTGTCCACATTTGGGACACAATCCGTGACAGAGATCTCCGAAAGATTTTTTGAATTATAAAAACTCAACGATTGGTCTGAGGAGTCATCAAATTGATTGCCATTATCTTCACATTTTGTGAACCGAAACGAACTAAAGTCTGCGAAATCATCGTCTTCTTCATGAACACCACTTTCAATATTATTTAACTCATCAGTGAAGACATCTTTATTATCTTCTATATCTTCCAACTCTTTATCGACATTTGTTTCAATTGGTTCAGTGTCTGGAAGTGACTCTAATTCTAGTTCTTTGACATCATCGCCGATGTTATTGATATCGTCTTCATTATTAAGATAACTGATGTCGTGTTCCGTCGATTTAATACTATTATCATCACAAGTGTTGGATTCAATTGTAATACTATTGTCACAGACTATGTCCTCATTCCTCATCTCTGTCTCATTGCACTCATTGTCATCAACGGTTGCCGGATCATCACTGGTATTGTTATTATCAATGACTGTCTGTTTGCCACTGTTTTGCTGAACAACGGGAACAACGAAATCAATGTCTTCTTCTTCATCACCGGAGACGCCATTAAATGATCCGAAATCTGGTTCTTCTTCTTCGCTCTCATTGGTGTCCAGCGGTGGAGGAGTCGTCCGTATAATCGGAAAGTTTGACATAATTTGCAACAAAATGATCTTATTTTTAGTCTTCAACTCAATTCACAAATTGATTGCAATTTATGTGAAGACACTTTTGAAACATATTTTCAATTTTTGCACAGATTTTAAACAATACTTAAGAGTAATATGGGATACGATTAACAAATGCTTATAAAAATGAATTCATTTCAAAGTTAATAACAAATAAATTAAATATTTATCACAATTCATAAGTAAATCATTAATTAATACATTAACTGATGTTTGTGTCAAATATGAGTCAATGAATGAGTTATCGATTCATTGATTGGCTTTGCATTCAATACACAAATGTACTGTCAGTTCATTAAACAATTGCCATTCAATGATGAGATAATAGATATGATATGAATAGACAATCAAATGAGTGGTAAGTTTGATGAGGTATTGAGTTATCAATGAATTGCTCGCAGATGTGCCTCAAGTGACCAAACAGTACACCAAATGTCATCAATGAATGAATCGATGGGTTGAGTGCTTAGAGTCGCCACCAATCGGACCATCACTTCAAGACACATGTGAATACATTTCGTGACATTTGTATTCATATCACGGTTTTCATTGGGATCTCATTTAATTCAATACAATTACTGTCAAAATGGATGATATTTTTGATGATAATAATGATAACGAAGACATGGAGTTCGCTGACAGAGAGTGGAATAAATTGAATAAAAGTTTGCAAAAAGTATATCAATTTGACCATAAATTCAATTTTAAAAGCCATTAATTTTTAATTAAATTCAATTATAGGATGGTTTTAAAGATGGTATACATGAGGGTCGAGTGACTGGTCTCCAGAAGTCTTTTGATTTGGGTTATGAACTCTCTTTTAATCCCTTTTTGACGATATCATCATTTGAAGCCACCATTGAGTATAACTTTTTACATTGAAAATTGCGGTTCAATTGAAAACTTATGATATTTATTTCGAAACGATTCAGTGTTTTGACCAAAAATACAGAATCCAAAGAATCGGATGAAGAGATCGCCGCACAACTGAAGACAATTAAGACAAATATAAGACAATTGTATGAATCAATTGAGAAACATTTATTGAGTTTAGAAGCAAACAGTTTGCAATCAAATGGTGTTGTATTGAGTGAAGAGATCACAGATCTGTTTGACTCCACCAAACAAAATGCAATCTTCGTCTGCGTTCAAAGCCATTGCCAATCACTTATACATCTAATCAAAGATCTATCGCTTTAATCATTAAATGTATTTAAATGACATATAATTTGTTAATTTTGTACATCTATTCATATATATAACTAATAAAAGTCTAATGCATCCATCAATCAGTCCTTGACTGGTCTGAAGTGCAGTTTGTATCCAAGTCTGGAGACTTCGGCGAGGAATCTGTTGCCTGGAGGCAAGTACTTGACCCGCAACTGATGGCACACCACCGCCGCACCACACAATCCCAGGAACAGATAGCCTCCGTAGGGCCGCATGAATATCGAGTTGGGGTTTGGTTTGTACACCACTGAGGAGATAATTGAGTGCATTAGTGGTTATCTTTATACGACAAGCAATACTCACTCGTGTCCTGTATTTGGTGTTCAATGCAATTGAAGTCCGATTCAAAACCAATGTCTCGTTTGTTTGCAAACATCCACTCAATGAAAGTCATATGACTTCTCACTCATCAATAATGTCCACAAATGAGTGCAAAATATTTTTATTCAATTCAAAGTTTTATAATTCATTGTAATTCTATATGAATTTAATTAAATCTATATTAGCTAACAAATTAAATCTAACCCTGAACCTAATCTAGAGATTTCATTGCTATTAGAAAGACATTCAATTGTATTGTTTGATCCAATGTTCGACTAAATTGAGACCCTTTCCGGTGACACAACTCACGTCAAAGACATCGACTTTTTGGTCGGGAAGTGAATCAATGAAATGGTCGATCATTAAGAGATATCGGATCTCCTCTTTACTCGCACTACAGTTGATGTCTGTTTTATTGAGAACTATAAGAACTGGTTTAATATTCTTGACATTAGTGTCGGACATCATCTGAAAGAGTGAGACACAGGAGTCTCCGATTGTCGACAGATTAGTCGAATCGATGACATAAATGATTGCCTGACAGTCGCCGTAGTATTGACTCCATATCTCGGCCATAGATCCACCGACTTCTTCAATACTCAGTGTTTTTGTCTTTGTTTTGATGAAAACAATATTAGTTCCAACGGTTGACACCGTAGAGGGAATGTCCAAATAGTTGTTGATCTGAAAGTCGATGTCTTGAAGTCTTTTCAATAGCAATGTCTTCCCGGAACCGGTGGGACCAACACATAAGATCATTGTTTTCAAGAGATTACACGTAATCGACGCTAAGATCAGTGAATATCTTGTGAATGGTATCGATGTTTAGTTTCAAACAAATGAGATATTCCTTAATCGCAGCGAAAGTGATCTTTTCGTCAATCGTTGGCTTCTCTGAAGTCAAACACTTGAGGAGTGAAGACCTGTTGGGAGCGGACAACAGACACAATGAGACGATCTGTTGAACGAACCAATTGTGGTATTTCTTGAGTGTCTGATCGTATGCTTTGGCGAAATAATCGCTCAGATCTTCGCTGCGCTTCTCTTCTTCGAAGTCCGACACAAAGAGTGACAGAAATATGAGATTATAATTGAGGGCTCGGGTCAACCAAATGAGAGCATCGGTTCCCAAATGAAAGTCACTTTCACTTAATGTCTGTTTCTCTTCGGACACTATTTGATCCAAAAATGCAAACTTCTGTTCATTTGTTTCGTATATTTTCATCAATTTATCGATATTTCCGTTCATATCATGTCTGACGGGAAGGAAGCCTTTGCCCAACAGTTCCACGAATTGAACCACACTTTTGGATGCGTTCAAGAAGTCTATGGTTTGGATCCGATCGGAGTTCAGTCGAGGAAAGTAAACACAACTCTCGAAGAATTCCTTCTTTTCATTGTTTGTGTCATTCATTACAAAGAGTTTCGGGATTTTGATTACAAGTTTGTGACTGACGTTCAAACAATCGTTTGGTCACCAAAAGTGTCTAATATTTGGACACAAATGCTATAAAAAGCAATTAAAAGACACTTTTAGTGATAAAGTGGACAATGAATGGCACATTGAATGCAATCATGCATTGAATGCTATGTTATGTAAATAGTGTTGTCATAACAAACACGTGACACACAAACACTCAATCAGTTGTTTACTTATTGTGTGTTTGCTTTCAAATGCATTTATCATTGACTTTTAGACACACTTTGACACAACTGATCCACAAGTGAGTCCATTAATCCCACCACTAATTATCTATAAATCCAATAACTAATCCAATGATTTATTAATGTCCTAATTGTGTGCTTCAGTGGCCTCTAAGTTCAAACTACATCCAGGATTGATATTCTTGACCGGCTTAACAGGTCTGATCGTCGGGTGGTATCAATTACAGTCTTATGGTATGTTGTGGTGATAGCACTACCACTCACTGTCACTCAATTGTTTGCTATTATCTTATATGCCATTCAGTACCCGAAGACCAACGAACTGACAAACGAATTGCCAAAAGTATCAAAGAATCCATTTTATCATTATTTCCCAACAAAAAGGATGAATAATTAGGATTTCTTAACAAATCTGATGATTTTGATGATAACTTTGGACTAATGCTTAGATTTATAAATTATAGTAATATTAAATCATTTGATTACTGTATAAAGAATGGTTAAAAAGTTATTTGTGTAAAACTTTAAGTCAATTGAATTGAAATGAAATATTGAATTAAATTGTTGGCCAATATTTGAATAGAAAATATAATTTATTAAAACAAAAACTGCTTTTATCATATTACAATTGTATAAAATTTAAAATGCTTTGAATGTAAAAACATTAATGCAATTACCGGTAACAATTGTTTTAAACATGAAATACTTTATAAATATTCTGTAGTTGAATGGAAAACATAGAGTGAATATAATCTGAAAATAGAGCTTATATTTAATATGGATATGGATTCATATAATGGCAAATTCATCACATATTTCCAATTCAATGTCTTTCAAAATTGTGATTAAATTATTTAACCCAAAGATATACCCCCTGTCGGGCCCACTATTGTCGATGTCAGTGGTGTTGTCTCCCATACCCTGATGTGTTGAATGCGCGAAATCAATTATTCGGATGTCCACTAGATTTGTATCATTTATACTGATTTGATCGACATTCCCCTCATAGAGAATAAGTAGAGAAGTCGTATAGAATCGGAAAGTATCCAAATTCTCCACAACTGACAGCATATCCTCCAACTTCTGGATCATAAGCCTAATTAAGTCCACTTTTGGCTGATTCTCGATTTGCAGAAACGCTTTCAATGTATTGACAAATCCTTCGGGTGTTAGTGTTCGGCCATAATATTTATTATGACATTTGAAACGATCCGAAGTCTTATTGTAGATCTAGTCATGATTAACATATTAATCATAACTTTAAATTCAAACAATAGATGTACTGTACTTATACAGTAGAAGTGATTAACTCAAACAATTACTACTTTAATTCATTATCTATAAAATTCATTATCATTTGGCACAAAGTTATCTGACTCAAGCTAAGTTATCAGCACACAGACTAATACAGAGATTTAAGTTATCTGACAGAATATGAATTACAACAAACCATATATTATGAAGTCTTAATCAATGCTCACCTGAACGCCAGTAATTCGGAGTCCAAGAGATCCGGAAGTAGTTTTGGATACCTTGAGAGAATGGCTCTGTATCTTATCCTCATCAGCAAAGTCGTCGTGTTGTCTGACCCCCATCTTGAGATCCAGAATACAGGGAAACTTGAATTTAAAGGTCAAATTCTCCAGTAATAAGAACTCTATATCAGATTCAGATAATTAGATTCGGAAGTGATATTCACTGCAAATACTTCTTCGTTGGTAATTATCACTCGCTTTGAGCGCTTTTATCGTCTTAAGAACCCATGGATTGTGGGGTTTGGTTAGGGAATTGCTGACAATTTTTGGCAAATCGTTTTCATTGCAATGACTGCCGTCTTCGAAGATATGATTGCTGTCGATATGAGGTAACTGTTTATCATTGCTTTCAATGAGAATATCTATATCTCCGTTAGGTTTACATAATTTGATGCGATATTTAGCCTTCTGTTCACTATTATCCTCCTCTCTATAACTATTGGGTTGTAGACTATTGGGTGGTTTAGCAGTGATTGTCAAATAGCCATCAGAGCTCTCATTGAATAGGACTTCACTTATGCCTCGATATTCGGGGACAAAAGGTTTCAATTGGAGTGGAAGTGTCTCATAGAAGGCCAGTTCCCGTGGATTAATGGGTTTGCATACGGTTTGGCCGAACACTAATATAGTGCTTCTGCCGCCCACCTGATGGATGAATGGCTCCAATGTGATCACATTCTCGTCGATTGTCTGGTCTGCCATCAAAACTAATTATTTGCTAATATATGGACAACTGTTAAACGAAAAAATTGTGGCAATTAACATTTATGTGCAAATTATAACAAAAATTTCATCATCAATTACTTAAACCCGCTTTTATGGCAAACTATGAATTGTTGAGACAAATAAATTTTTAAATAATAATCAAACTAATAATTTCAACCAAATAAAGAGCAGTGTAGCCAAAAATGGTATTGAATTTTCATTGAGATTTGCAATGAAAATGTTATATAAAAATGAAAATTGGATTCAGAATTATTGTAATATTCTGTTGGAGTTCTCGTAGAGAATGTGCTCTCAATAGACTTAATGATAAAAATTATTGATTTGACGTAAGCATAGAATAAGTTTGAAATTAAAACAAATAAAAGCCAAACATTAGTCTCACAAACAAATCGATCGAAAGTGAATACTTGAAGAGAAAAATGCCATAAAATTATCGGCAAAACTCACGACGTGCTCGCTATCATTGCAATTATAATTTGTAAAATGGATTACAAATGAGTGAAGCAATTGATAAAAGGATTACTGTTTTTTGGAATCTATTTCCCAACTAATGATAATAAACAGACACCGTTTGTAATGGCATTGAGTTTATATAATCAAATGGTTTGCAAATAAATAAAACTGTTTATTAGAATAAGTTTTTATTTTTCAATTCATTTAACAAATAATATAAGTTACTAGTAATATAATTATTTATACAAACAGTTACTTCTAATATAATTCTAAGGCATAATGTAAATCAATTATATAACTTTTAACATCAATCTATATTTACTTTATGAGCGATTAGTAAAAAAGTTTGAAATAAACTTCACGCTTTACATCCAAATCGTTTAAAATGTTAGCTAAATGTAAGCGAATCTAATTCTTACCTAACAATACATTTGCATTGTATTAATAAGTACCTTGTACCATTGTATTGAAACTCTCAATTAGAGAGCAAACATGTTTATAGGAACGGTATTGCATTCATTAATTCCCACTCATCCACACTTATGATAAGATTGAAATGTATTTATAAATATAAAGTACTTATAAATATTTT